CCTGCTGACCAATATCTTGAAAACAATTGATTCATATACATTGTCCATGGTTTGGATTTTGAAAGACAGAAATTGTAATTTGGAGAGTTGTAACTGCGGCACTTTCCAGTCCCATAAACCGTGATTTTGCATGTAGCAAACTATAACATATTGAGTTTCGTTTTTTAAACAAGTTTCTATAATATTCAAATATATCCATTCTATAAAATAAAGCAAGTTGAGCAATTGCACTACGAAATTAACTACTTAATTGGACTTTGGTTAGAACCCTGAGATAATTTTTTTGTTTGCTTGTATATAGCATTCTTAAATTTTGGCCAATAAAGTTTGCATATAGAGAATTAAAGTATATCTTTCCTCCTTCTTAAATACTTTGTATTGCCATATCCTAACTAATTTAAATTGGGAAACCTGATTGGGAAAATAGTCTGCTGAAACTTACAGGTAGAAATGGCATTACATACTTTGCCTCTGGCAAAGCCCTCATTGGACAGCCCCTTCCAATCGGGCAGACTGTGGTGTAGTGTGGAAATCGTCTGGCACGTAACACTGTCTGTCCTAATTTTTAAAAGGTTCCAGTCATGAAGATAGTGATTTTCCAGCCAAGCTACCAAATCAGTTATTTATTTTGTCTCTTTGCTTGAAATGCATTTTATTTCCTTAATGTTCTTCAGTCCTAGGAGTTCAAGGTACCCAGCAGTCGTAAATAATCGCATGTATATTGAGCTAATATGGAGTCATCCAAGGACGGATCCAAGTTTGTGAGCCTCAAGCTTATACAATTTGGAGTATTGGTTAAGAAAAAGAATACAAAATTAGGTATGAAAGTAACTTTATTTCGAATGAGAGACATCACAACCAATTATAAAGTTTTAAAAGCTGACAGATGCCACAAATATAACAAAATCGAGAAAAATAACATATCATTATTACTTATTAGCTCTGAGGCACACCTCTAGGATACTTTTTTCCTATGTTTTCTCACATATTCTTTGTTCACTTCATCTTAAGACGTTAATTTTTTAACGTCATTTTCTATAGAGAGGATATCGGATAGATACGTTGGTCTTTCCCGTAGCATGATAGATTGACATTTAGTTTTCATTTCAAATGGTTTAGAAAAGCTCCTCTCAGCCTCGCTTGCTGTTCCTAAGGGTGTGCGGTGACTTCCTCGGCTGCGCTCCTTCCCCAGGGTGAGTGAGCCTTGGGAGAACCCCAGCCCCTGGAGCACAGTGAGCCAGGCTGGGCAGCCCAGCTCTGCCCAGCCTCGTCACCTCCAGTTCCCAGCCACATCAACCCCAGCCGTGAGGAGGTCCCAGAAAGCCTGGAAGCCCAGATCGTGGTGGGCCCTGAGCAGGGGACCAAGCAGCACCTTGTTCATGTCCTTCTCTTTGGAGTCCAAGTCAGGGTCTAAAGCTCAGTGCAGGCCCCAGGAGCGAGCTGTCCCTGGGGCCACTGATATGGAGGTGGAAGCTGCTCACTGGTCACCCTGCCCACCACATCCACTGCAGGCCGAGGGGCTCTTCAAGCCTTCCTGGTGCAGGGGCTAGGGTGCTCTTAGGGGGCGGGGAAGGACAAGGACCGGCGGGGGGGCGGGGGGTGGGCATAAAGCCAGGCAAGTGAGTGCCCTGAATAAGAGCAGACTAATACCAGTATCTCGCCATATTCTTCCAACTGCCTGCAGCATAAAGGCCGGAGTCTGCAGCAAGGCCTTCAAGAATGCCCTGTGCCCCCCTGCTCCCACCTAGTCTGTCTTTCCAGCAGGCCTCCCTCACCCCTCACCGCATACATGCACTGTGTTCCAGCCAGACTGGACTGATTGTTGCTCAGACCTGCCTGGTGCTCTTCTGCCCTGTGGCTTGGGATTTTTCACCCCCTAGGGCCACCTTCCCTCCCCTGTGCCCACTTGTGGAAATCTCTCCCCGCCACTCCAGGCCTGGCTCAAGTGATGGAAGTTCTGCCACTAAACCTTCCTGAGCCGCATGACTAGATGTGCTCTCTCCCTCCTCAAAATAGCAGGGCACTTTTGGGCTTCTTTCTTAGCCCAACCATCAGATCTTCAGCCAGGCGAGGCAAGGACCATCCATCCCTCCCCTTCACGTTGCCTGTCTAGCTATAAGGACTCGTGTAACAAGTGTTACACTAAATCAAACACCTCAAGAAAGAGAAAAACACTTCTCATATTCCCAAGCTTCCCAAAAGAGAAAACGGAGAGTCATTTCTATCCTCAGATGTGATGTGACAGGGAGAGAGCAGAGAAGGAGAGAGAGGAGAAGTGAGCAAAGGGAAGGGGGAGGCAGAGCAGGAGATGGAGCAGCCCGGCAGGTCAGGGGCCAGACTAGAGACAGCAAGCCTGAGGCGATGCGAAGACCAGCCCTTCCACTGCAAATTCAAGATGCTGTCTTACTCGCCTAAAAGCAATACAGGCGGCTTTTTTTAATTTTAATTATCTTGTTGGCAAAGCCTTCCTTCAATGAAATACAGACCACATACTAGGGTTAGTCATTGTGACATTTCTATGACTCAGTTACCTTCTTTATTTTGAAAGTTTAATTTTATTCCATTTCTAGACTTTAGTTTTCAGTCTGTTGTTTTAGCAATAAAGTAACTCCCGCAATACTCTAGTGTGAGGCTTAAAATGATTTAAAGGACCATCGCTGACAACCTGGTAGGGGTGAGTTTTGCTTTTGGGGGATACTTAGCCCTTGCGATCATTGTTAACAGATTGGAAAATAAAAAGATAACCGAAGATTTTTATTGCTTGAGAGACCTGGTCCTACAACGTATACGTATAGTGACAGCACATATATCATGTTTCTAACATTTTCAAAGTTTTCTTTTAAATGCCAAATAAAGCCTGCTTTATATTCCTATTAAACTTTTCATTTTTCTAAGTGTTACCATGCCTAATATTTCAATGAACGCTTTTTACTTGCTGAGACGGATTGAGAAAGTGCTGCCATCCTTCTCTGACCATCGAGGGGACTGGAACAAAGGTTAGATTTGCTGGAGGTCACATACCTAGTTCATGAGAGAGCAGGGACCAGACCCCGGTGTCCTGACTCCCAGCCCGGGACCTGTGCAATGAAGAAAGAAATCATATTCGGAGCCATACAATCAATCTTAAACCATGTAAGATTTTATGTCCTTCAGCAACTAACTCTTTGTTTCCTTTTCTTTTGTTTTCATTTACCTAAAAAGTGCTTAAGGCAGCTAAACAGCTTGACTTCTACAAACAAAGATAGACTTCTTGAAATTTGTATAATTGTTAACTTAGCCAACATCATACATGTGTCTCCCACAGTGGGGGAAATGGTTCATTGGACGGGAAAACAGTATTTAAGATAGGCTTTGGAGGGCTTCCCTGGCGGCGCAGTGGTTAAGAATCTGCCTGCCAATGCAGGAGACACAGGTTTGAGCCCTGGTCCAGGAAGATCCCACGTGCCACAACTACTGAGCCTGCGCTCTAGAGCCCATGAGGCACAACTACTGAAGCCTGTGAGCCACAACTACTGAAGCCCACACACCTAGAGACTGTGCTCTGCAACCAGAGAATCCACCGCAATGAGAAGCCCGCACGCTGCAACTAGAGAAAGCCCGCGCGCAGCAACGAAGACCCAATAAATAAATAAATAAGATGGGCTTTGGATAGGGAGTTTAGGATCTGTACAAGACAAATTCATGGGAATGGCCTGGAAAGGTGCCTTTAGGGTACAATTTACTTACATCTGGTTGTGGTAATTTCTCCAAAAGACGTTGCTCATAGTCATACTTTTTTTCCCTTTTAATTTTGATGTAAATATGTGAATTTCCACTGTTCCGTAACTGTAATTTGTTTCATAACATACTTAATGGAGATTATGATCTTATGATCTATCTCACAGTTGAAAATCCCCCCTAAACGTGGACTGCTTTAATTGGCTCACGGAGTTGGCCAAAAAATTGCAGTGTGAAGGGAAAGTTTATATGGATTTTCCCTGACTCAGCTAGGTATGGTCAACACTGGGCTTCTTTACAAAGGAGACAGCTTGCTGGGGCTGTGGAAGTGAGAGCTGCACATCCCCTCCTGACCTCTCTCCCCCATCTCGGGCTGGACATGCTGTCAGAGCAGGGACCCTCCTTGGGACACATGGGCCCCGGGAGGAATGCTCTCCTGAACACAGTTAGCTGGACCCCAACTGAAGTTCTTTTTTTTTATTATTTTATTTTATTTTTTTTTTATTTTTTTTTTTTTTTGCGGTACGCGGGCCTTTCACTGTTGTGGCCTCTCCCGTTGCAGAGCACAGGCTCTGGACGCGCAGGCTCAGCGGCCATGGCTCACGGGCCTAGTCGCTCCACGGCATGTGGGATCCTCCCAGACCAGGGCACGAACCCGTGTCCCTTGCATCGGCAGGCGGACTCTCAACCACTGCGCCACCAGGGAAGCCCCCAACTGAAGTTCTTGTTCAAGAGAGGAGCCAGTGAATTGAGTCAGGTCTCAAAAGAATCATCCAAACAAGCAGACTGCACCACATCTGCCAGCCTATGCGTCAGCCTCAGTCCCGTATTGAGGTATAAATTACACACAACCAAATGCAACCATTTCAAGTGTACAGTTCGATGAGTTTAGACCAAGGTTTATGCCAGTGTCACCCCTACCACAATCAAGGTATAAAATATGTGCATCACTCCAGAAATTTCCCTCGTGTCCCTTCCCACTCAATCTCTCACCTGCACCCCAGGGTCAGGCAACCACAGATCTGCTTTCTGTCACTATAGGTTACTTGTTTTTAACAATTAATGAATAAGTGAGCTCATTCTTTCACTGAGCACATTTTGGAGAGTCATCTATTTTTATTAGGTATATCAATGGTTCATTCCACCTTGTTGCTGTAATATTGCATAGCTGGAATATGCAACAAATTGTTTATCAATTCACCTGTTTGGGGTTGTTTGCAGTTTGGGGTTATTATGAATGAAGCTGATATGACTATTCAGGTGCAAGTCCTTCTAAGGACATGTTTTTATTTGGAGGGTGGGGTAAAAACCTGGAAGAGGAATTGTTGTGTCACTTGGTAAGTGTATGTTAGCTTTACAGGGAAGTGCTGTGCTGTTTTTCGGACAGTTGCACCATTTTGCGTTCCCATCAGAAATGTCTGAGAGATCCACTTCACATCCTCACCAACACTTGTCATGGTCCGTCTCAGTCTTTAATTTTAGCCATTCTAGTGGATGTGTAGTGGCATCACATTGCGGTTTTAATTATGACTAATGATTTGAGCATCATTTCATGTGCTCATTGGGTGTCTTCCTTCCGTGATTCAATTGCTCTGACTAGTTCCATGACACTAAATTCAATAATCCCACAGCCAAAAGCATCCTTGTCAGCTGCTGGCAAGTTTTTACTTTTTCTTTCTTGCCTTAACATGGGCAGTACATTAAAAAAATTCTGACAGAAGCTCTGATTTCCCCCCGTCCCATGGTGAGATCATCCAAACAGACCTTCAGACATCCCCTGCATCGAAAGTTGAGCGGGTAGATTTGAGCCTATGGCATTGGAACATTGCTGGGAAAAGGGAGCTGTAAACCACGTGTCCTTCCCCCTTCCTCCCTTGCGCTTCTCCACTTAGAGGAGCCCCTCTTGATAGAATCCCAATGACCAGTCCTGAGTTCCCTGACCTCTCACAACACAGTGTATGCTACTTATATTGTTATTCGTTTCCATATTTCTTTGAATTTTTAACTACTCCATATGCACATGTATTCATTCCCTAAATACATTAAAAGACACCTCATCTTATCTTGCTTCTGTGTTTCCATGGCGCTCAATAAATCCTTTTAAAGGTAAATTAAATTTGCAAGAGAGGGAGAGACAGAGACAGAGATTGAATTTAGTCGATTTCAGAGTAGTCATTTCATGTGAACCCAAACTTTTCATCTCTAAGACTTTACAAGATTCCTCCCCACCCACTCCCTACTCTTGTTGACAATGTAAAACAAACCACAGCCTGGGAATTATCTTTACAAAATAAATCAGCATATTGTTTTGAGTTGTTGCCCTGCATGTATTAATTTTAAAAGAACACATGTCTTGGTTCAGTAAAAATTTGCAGAAAGCCAGACATCCCATAAAAAGAATTTGTTGGTTGGGATGTTTATCCCTCCAGCTATCTTTTCCCTTTTTATGACTACAGAGAACACTGGTGTTTCTTTACTTTTCAGAGTTACCTACTCAGGAAGACTTCTGGCAGTGGCCCTGACAGGAAGTCCCACTGTGCTGAAGCAGTGGGTCTTTATGAGGACTGGTTCCTTCCCACCCTTTGACTGGTCTGCCCATAGGTGTGTCAACTCCCACCCTGCCTCTGCCAGAAAGGGGATCTTTCAGTCAGGACACTCTACTTGTGCCAGGTGTGATCCAGAGAGGCTGGACTCAGGCCATACTGACTCATGCTCCATTCCTGCCTCTGTCATACTGTGGTGCCTACATGATGGGGAGTTGGGGGCCTGGGGGAACCCAGCATACTGCTGCTTCACTACACCTGTCTTACACAGTGGAGGACATTCAGAGGGCCACAAAGATCAAAGTTTTTCAGAGGAGAACTAAAGCCTTCTAATGGCTGAGCCTCAGTTAACCAGTCTCTATCAACCGATAACATACCAGTATTCATAATGATGATCCTTAAAGCCTTCAAGATCCAGAAGTGCCTTCTGCATTAAAAAGGAAAGAAGAGTTCATCATATGTGGTAAACGTTCATATTTTAATATAATTTTTTAAATTTATTTATTTATTTTTGGCTGTGTTGGGTCTTCGTTTCTGTGCGAGGGCTTTCTCTAGTTGCGGCAAGCGGGGGCCCCTCTTCATTGCAGTGCGCGGGCCTCTCGCTATCGCGGCCTCTCTTGTTGCGGAGCACAGGCTCCGGACGCGCAGGCTCAGTAGTTGTGGCTCACGGGCCTAGTTGCTCCGCGGCATGTGGCATCTTCCCAGACCAGGGCTCGAACCTGTGTTCCCTGCGTTGGCAGGCAGATTCTCAACCACTGCGCCACCAGGGAAGCCCTATAAATTATTTTATTATAATCTTCTAAACCCATTGGTCTCCAAACTCTTTGATTGCATGCTTGAATTAGCTTTTAAAAATTGGCATCTCCCAATGTATTTACATTTATTTATGTATAAATTATATAATATATATATATATATATATACACACACACACACACACACACACATATATTCTACTAAAATGTTCGTGATAAAGCACACAACATGTAGAACATTTTAAAGGGTGAGATTACCTCCTTTCTTGATAAAAAAGAAATTCAAAAAGACTGGAAATAAGTGTTGGCAAGGGAGTGAAGAAAGGGAACCCTTGTGTGCTATTAGTGAAAATATAAATTGGTGCTGCCACTATGGAAAGCAATACAGAGATTCTTCAAAAAATAAAAATAGAACTACCATATGATCCAACAATTGTATTTCTGGGTACTTATCCAAAGAAAGCAAAAATACTAACTCAAAAAAAAAAAAAATTCTTAGCAAAGTATAAATAAAGGGGTACTTTCTTAAAAGGATAAAATATATTTATCTGAGCACATTATGCTATTAACACAGAATTTAGAATGATTTGCACTGAAGTCATGACCAAATAAGGATGACTTCACTATTATTACTTAATATTGTTTTGGACGTACTAGCTCTAATTAGAAAAGACACTTCAATTACAATAGAAAATTTGAAACTAATATATTAACAGGGCTAATAAATATCCTTATTTATGTAGGTATATAAACTTGCGTGCATGAAAAAACCTGAGAGAATTAACTTCAAAACTATTTTCAAAAATAAGAATTTACTGAGATAGTGCAGTAAAAAATTAATGTGTAGAAATCAATAACAGCCAGTTAGAAGATGTAATAGAAAGTAATACCTCCTTTACCATAATCACAAAACAAAATCCAAGATCTAGCAGTAAACCTAAGTTTCATACCTGATAAGCAGAAATCTAAGAATTCCAAGGGTTTGAACAAATAGAAAGATATAGTGTATTTTGACTA